TGCTTCAAATATGAGTTGTAGATCACTTAGCTTTCAACAGTTATATTAGTTTTCAAATTTTCAACTCTTACAAATATAAAGCCTTGGGTGATTTAATATTGCTATGAAGTTTGATTGATTAATTAATAATTTTGAAGCATTTATTTGATTTTTTGATTATTAATGATAAAAGTAGACAAGATACATATGCAGGTAATATTAATGTTGGTGTTATTAGTGTGAATAATTGGTAGCCAATAAAAATTTGATACTTACTTAATATTCAAACAATATTGTCATTAAAAAGTTACTTAAAAAATTATAGAAATTATATTTTTGCTTTGAAAAAATTTAATTTATAAGCATAACGTAGTAATAATTTCAATTAGCCTAAACACTGAATGGTGAATGATATTTTATTTTGATATATGAATATGATAATTTATTACAGTAATTGTCAAAAATTATAATTATTATTTTAATTGCTCTCTTTTTATTAATGTAATTATTGCAGTTTAAAATGGTAAATCTACTGTGTTTATTTTTAGTAATGACTTTGCAATTTTTTGTGCATAATAAATTTTTAAAAATTTTGATAAATAGTTATAAGAACTAAACAATGTTTTCTTTGTACTAATTTAAAATTTTTATAAGCAAGTTTTAGTTGAACTTCATATAATGTTAAACAATTCTCTTGGAGAAGCAGCATTTGGTATTATTTCAGATGATATCTCTATTATCATCATCATCATTTATCATAACTGATCAGTGTACAAACAGGTTTTCTTAATACTTGCTGAGCATCAAACTAGATTTATGATGATAATGTATAATTAAAATAAAACCAAACACTTTATGTGAATGCAATGATAAATCAATGATAAATAAACTTATACTAATGTATAGAAAGTGCTAAAAGAAATTTCATTGAATAATTATGCTTCTTTTTACATAAGTATTCTATTTTTTGTTTACTATCAGAAATTAAGTCATACATATTTATAATATTTGAATGCTATTTAAGCAATCAGAAAAGGTTACTTACATGAGTTATGTCTTGAAACGAGTACTAACTTTTTAAGCAACTGTTAAATGCGGCAGACTCTCAAGGTAGATAATTTTTTGGATATTTCTAATTAATTTTGGTAATTGAGTTAAAGCATTTAAGGGAAATATAATTGCTTCTGATTAATATTGTCCAAAGTTTTTTGATTTATTCACTGATTTCTATTGGAGACACAAATATGTAAATATAATAACATTATATGTAAATTTTTCATACTTCATTATAACAGATGTCGTTTTAATAATTTTCTTGGAATCATCAAAATTAAATTAAAAATGCTTTTTTGAAATTTACTTATGCTTTAATTGCTAAATATTATTGCTGAAAGTCATTGCTGCAAATTTATACTCTGTTAAAAGGTGAAACTTTTTTACGAAAGCCTTAAAAACTAAAAAAGTATCAATTTATGGAATAAATTATCATTTTGATGCAGTAAATTTATAAAAGTGAATCTGTGCATTGCAACAAGCATTTGTGACATTCTCATTAAATAGTGATAGCTAACAAAGTTATATATATGTTATTAGCGAAATTAATGCTAATTCGAATTGAAAATTACATTTTTATTTATTTTTTTAGCAGTTTTCTCTGTTTTGAAAGCATATATTCTTCAATAATAACTAAAAGTATAATCAATGCAGATTCTTCCAAAACTTTAATTTTTTACCATTGAAAATGAATGTTAATTCTTGTTTCTCAATATTGCAATAATGCAGTAATGATTTTTTGTTGGCTAATTTTCATACTTATCAATTTTGAAGAGTTTGCATAATTAATTATCATTAATAGTCAATCATGAATAATTAATACTGCAATATCATATTTTTAATGCTTGTGATAGTTTACCATATTATTTCTCATTTAATTGTGGTATTTGATAAGGAGTTGAAAATTATGGAAGGAAACATAAATTAACAACCTGATAAATGGCTCCTCAACAATTTCATTTCCAAATGAAGCAAATGTATTCATAGT